CTTAACTTTGCTTTAGCTTTAATTTACTTTACTTGTTATACGCTTTGCAGGATTTAACAGACAAAGCATTAGTAATTAATTTATTTTTTAAGAGAAACGTGGTTTTTGCTGAAGTAACATTCAAACTGAGTGGTATAATTTGGCAGACTGTTTAATAAACTTGGGATCTTCGATGCTTTTTTTTAAAAAGATTTGTTAAGGCAGAGGGGAAGTCTTGAAAAACGAATTTCTACAAAAGCTACTAAAGGCAGCTCGTTGTCGAACTAGCGGTGAATAACTGAGGAAAATGAGTGGTTGAATTTTTTGAGCCAAGTCATTTAGCAACTGTGACGAAATACTTGAAGTAAAAGGACTGAAAATTTGGCTGCCCTATGGAGGACAAACCTGTAAGTTTCATAGGAGTGTGCTAGTATGCTAGTCATAGTACGATGATCTATTTTTAGCTGATCTGTCACTCATGATGAAAAATTAGCCCTGAGTGATGACAGCAAATGCTGCAGAATTTGACTGAATGAAGACACGATTCAGTTTAGATGGCTAAGATTGACTGTTAACAGCAAAATATGATCTCTCCTTGATAGCGGCTTTTTGAAGCGATTTTAACCAGCTTCTTTAGTTTTAATGAAATGGTAGTATGTTAAAAAGCTATATTTCTGTGTGATAGCTCTTCATCACGTTTTATTAAAAGTCGAGGGAAACATGAAGTTGGTATTTTATTAGAGGTTCACCTTCTTTGTTAGTGTTCTTCAATGTTGATGCTGTTCTTTCAGAATTTATAGGCTGCTTATTCGTAAGTTTTTAAGGAAGCGATCGTACTGCAAAGAACCCAGAATTGTTGCACTTTAAAAAAAATATGGATTTTATCACCAACGAGATCTCGAATCTAATAATGCACTGGGAGACATATGTGATTATAGCTTTTGGGGTCTAGGGTTCAACTAAATTCTTCACAGAAACTATATCATCCTAGTTAAGCAACTGCTGTACAAATTTCTTGTTTGGCAGTTACGGATCTAATTTGTACCACTGCATGGATGTCACCCCTTTTTCAAACCGCTTAACCTGAAAGAAGAGCAGAACGCTAACAAAAAGACACTTTTTTGAAGCGGTTTTAGAAATAAGGAGGTTTTTATTACTGGATTTGTTCTTGTTGTTAGTTCATTTTAGTAGACTGTGCTTATTTGAATTCAAGCTAAATTTGTCAAACAGAACAGCATGCTCTTCTACTTGTTCTTTTTTTTTTCTTGCTAAACTCAAGCTTTTTTTTTTGTGGTTAATTTAAACGATACTCTGCCTTCTTCAGAGTAAAGACTGTGTCGTCTAAGTGGAGAACGGTTACGAGGATAAGTGAAGTTGACACTCTTGACTCGGGTGATTACCGGCTTATTGGTGCTCGGTAGTTCAAACTTCCCAATCTTGTTTACTGCATTTTTTTCTTGTCTTTTTTTTGAACTGCTACTGTATTTTTTGTCACTGATTTAAGTTCTCGCTAATTTTTTTTATAAAAATAAATAAAAAGTTTTGTTCTAAAATTCTGAATTTTTTTCTTTTGGGATTGCAACAGCAGAGAAGAGACATAAATAGAGAAGGTCATTTATTCTCTTTCTCGTTTTTTTATACAATTTTTAAACAGTGTTCCTTTTGTGAGTTATGGTGGTTTGTGGTGGTCGCTTAGACAAGTTTTTGTGGCATTAAGAGAAAAGGACAGAATTGCTGTTATCGTTGTAGTATTTCGTTTTTGTTTTTATTTTGCTTCAGAGAACGTACAGTTATATTTCCTACTCAGTTCTCAATTACAATTTTTTTATTCTTTCAGCTGAAACTTTGGTGAAACATGGCAGATTCAGCTTTTTTTTTCTTTCACTCTAACGTATATCGTTTAATGTAGGAATGAAGGGGGAGGAGGAGAAGGGGAATGAGGGAGAAAAAGTGTAGCATTAATAAAATATATTAAATATACCACACTCGGTAGTTTGAAAAATTTACAGCATTTTTCTCAACCACAGAAAAAATTACATCGATCTAGAAGGCAAAAACTTGAAGCTAATTAGTAGATCTTGTATCACAGTCAATTGTACAAGAGAAGCTTCTATTATTATAGTAACTTGCAACTCGGTTTTATTGTTTGCTTTCTTACGCTTATTGCTTTTATCGTTTTTCACATTTTGTTATTGCTATTTGGCTAACTTATTTTTATTTAACTGAAAAGGGTTAACTGTCTTGAACTTGAAAAAAAAACTACTATGAGTCATTTTATACATAATGCTTCAAGTTTTGTCTAAAAAACTACAAGTAAATTGATGTTTCTGTTCGCAAATTTTTCCATTATCGGTTTCTTACATTTTGTAGGCCGCATCTGTAGCACTGGTGCACCAGTTCACTGTGAACAATTACTCATAAAAATAATCATGGAAACTTAATTTGCATATCATATTACAGCAGACTATGTGTTTTTCAATAATAATTTTCAATTAAAACAATCTGGGACTTTTTAATATTTTTCATTGCTCAATTTACTTGACTATAAAACGAGATGAGATACTGAGTGCGGTAGTCAATACAATCTGAGAATTGAACTGTTTGTAAACAATTTTTTTGTTTTGCATGCGACTCATCGGGTGTTAAAAAATTAGCTAATATCGTGGTACACTTGAAATAAGAAAAAAAAAAGGCAAAACAAAATAGACTTTGTCAATATTTTTATTTTCATTCATTTACCTGCTCAAACTACAGTGATTTGCTGCATAAATTAAAATAGCTAAATAAATTTTAGTTAACCTATTTTCAAGAACAAACTGATATTAATCTGAGTACTGGTTGAAGCTATTGCGCTATTGTCCAGTGGCTAAGCGAAAATTTTGCAGTTTATTTTTTTCTTTATTATAGTTAGCATTTTATATTTTTGAATTACATGCAAATCAAATAACAAATTTTAGTGATTAGGGATTTTAGCAAATAGCAATTGTCCGTTGTACACTGATAATATCGGCTATTACAGTCTAACAGTGGCAGCGGCAGCAACGCCATTAACAGCTGCCGTTGTTGTTGTTGTTGCTTCAACGCCGTGCCATTGGAAGAACTCAAGGAAACTTCAAATATTCTTTTGAAATACGACTAGCAACGCTAATTTAGTGTTTTTGTATTTTTTTTTAATAGTCAATTTTTGTTTATTTCACAGAAGCCGTATAAATAGAATGTTACAGCTAAAAGTAGTTGGATAGTATCGGCTGCGGTTGATTCTGTATACGCATCTGTATTTGTGTAGGCAGTTGTCAACCACAGATTTCATATGATATTTGTAAAGGTAAAGAAGTTAAATTTGAATGACTGGTTGTTTGTGCAAGTAATTTTTTTTCCTTTTGCCTACAGCTGAGTCATTCAACACTTTTTAATTGCGGATTTTATAATGGTCTTTTGCTGATTGTTAACTGAATATTCATGTTTCATTTTTTTCGATATATATACATATATTTTTTTTTTTAGTTGTTAGTAGTCAATAGTAACTGAAAAAGAGTCAATTAGAATTTCCTCATTCTTTTGCTTGTCATTTTTATTCCTTGAACAACAACAAGTTAGTAATGGTTAGTGTTAGGTAAAATATCTGTAAAAGTTGTACACCGACATATTCTAATGAAACCGAGAGCAGTGCTTATAGCAACAAATGCAGATTGGTTTTCGTTTTTTATTTTTTATTTTTTATTGTTTTGGTTAATTACCTAATTATTTTGTGTTGTTTGAAACTCGTTTTTTTTCCTAAAAGAATAAAAAGGACTAAGTTTACAGTATTCGTAAAATTAAAAGCCAAACTGTTTGATTGTTAATTTTTTTCAAATCGTGACTATATTAAGTGCAGTTTTTGATCACTTTTTTTTTGCTCTTATTTCTTTCGCTTTATTTCCTTTTCACTTTTTTCATAATTTAAAAATATTTTACTTTTTTATTTTTTAACTGATATGGCAATTAAAATTGTTAATATGAAACTTCAAAATTTTAATTTGCCTCTTCTCTTAGTTGCTTAAAAAGAATTCAAACGAAAGAATTGATGAGTCCACGTTCCGTCTTATTGTATGTCTTTTTTAACTGACTACTTTTTGTTCATTTTATTAGTGTAATTGTGGCAGAAATCGTCAAATGCCAAATACAGCCACTGGCGTAATTCGGATTGGTAATTATTTGATGTATTATCCAGAGGTAAGGTTTCAAAGTGAACACTTTTTACTATCGTTTTTATGTTATCTGTTTCAAATTTCATCCAAAATCTAAAATTTTAAATTATTCTCTCCTCCATCTCCTCGCTCCTTTTCCCAGTTCCGTCTTATCAGTCTTTTTCTAATTGACTGAAAAAATTTTGTAAAATACCAACTAATCAGTGTCTCTTTCTTCCATAAAGTGTCTACAGTCTAAATTATAAAGTTATGTTGAAGATCTCCTTGAACCAAAAAAATCTTTTTCATTCACTTTGCTCCCCTTTACTGCATCTCCTACCTACTGACATTTAGTGGATGAAAGAAGGGAGGAAGGAAATGCTAGACTATGCCAGTTAGATAATTAGTTAACAAAAAATTCAGGAGGATGACGACCAACTGTACCTAACCACTGGTCGAGTAGTTGAGTGGGCTTCCAATGACAGCGAGGCTGGTACCTCGTCTGGTTCCGGTAGTGCGAAAAAAACCCTACAGAGTCGATTTGGACAACTTTCTAGCGCAATTGGAAGAAATATTTATAATATTATGCAAAACAGGTATTAATTTTTTAATGACATTAAAAAGTCTTAAGCCGTTTCTTTATCGTCTTTCATTCCTAGGGATGTTTCAATTCACAGCTTTTTTCCATTTACTTACAACAGAGAGCCTGTGCAATCTTCGCTTAAAAAACCTCAAACATAAGTCTATTAATGCTCAAACTTCTAAATCTTTCTTTGTTTAAAAGCTGGTTGCTATAGAAACTGCCATATCCATTGACAGACAATGGTCACCGGATAAATGAAAACTTTTTGTTTTGTTGTTTACGACGGCTTTATTTGATGAAAAAATTTTTTAGGTAAATATCAATTTTTGGCAAAGAAAAAAATTAAGTTGAAAAAAATTTTTTACCTTTCCTTTTTCACTGTTATAGTCTTTCAATAATTCTCTATCGCAGTAGAAAAGAAAATTTTTCTTCTTTTTTTCTCATGGCGATTTTACCAAAAAGAACAAAAAGTGACTTTTTTAAATAAATTTGGTTCAGAAAGCCCTCAAAAGAATCGCACACGACCAGCAGTTCAGGCACCGGCAGTAATTATCAATCGCCATATGGGTCTGCAAGTGCTGCTTATCAAAATTTCCTTATCATCGAAGATGAACCTGGACAATCCAAGTACTTACGATTTAAACTTCACTAATCAAGCACTCCTGAAATATTTTTAATTTAACTAGCCTTCCACAAATTATGCCAGCAACAGCCTTTGATTCTGAGCAGTATCAATGTAAAGTTCCGACAACCTTAAGGACTACCGTACGCGCTTAATTAATCACTACTGTTAAATGGCTTGAAACAACTTCAGCTGATCAATAAATTAATTAGTCCGCAGTATAATCTAGTATATTTGTAGTAGACCTCAACCGTACAATAATCAGTGTACCGGTGTGCTACGACTCTCAGATAATCTTCCAAATCCGAACGATCGTATATCGTCCGTACAAGTAAATCCAGCAGTCAACAACGACTCCCTATCCTTTTCAATCCAAGAAAATGAAAACTCGTTATTGCGAAAATTACGCACTATAAAGGAGACATTCAAGTAAAGTTTAAACTAGAACTAATAGACTTTTATTCGATAACCTCTAAACAGTCATTGGGGACTTATTTAGAAGCGGTAACTTTAAACTAATTCATAGTCTTCAAAAATCCTAAAAAAATTTTTCCGCATTTGCAACTCAGCTACAAAAATCCTGTTGTATATGAGCAGCCCTGAGCAATACTTGAGAAATCTTGTTTTTGCAGGTTTTTTAGACGAACAGGCAACAGTAATTCTCCATCTCTTTCCGGCACCTTGCTCCCATCAAATCCTTCAGTAACTGTAGCTCTAGAATCAGCCAGCAATGAGCATTTCCAAGAAACACAGAAAAGTATTCCGGAACTGCGTGAAGAAGTTACAAGGACAATTCGACGCTACGTTTACGTTGGACAGGGTCTACTAATAGCAATAATTGCACTCATATGGGTTGCCTCTTATTTTGTGGTTTTGAAAAGCCCTTACGTTACTGCACCAAATCAAACACATCCTGATCAAATCGCCAAAGTCCCAATTAATCAGTCGGTGATGGGCGCTATGGTAGACCCGCCGAAGGTAAGTGGATCGGTTAAAAGTGAGATTGGATGGATACCAAAAAGCAAAACAACGAAAACTGAAAGAAAAAGCCGAATTAATGACAGCAAAGCTAACGCTTTGCCGAATAATTCAGCAAATCGAGTTAATAACGGCAATTTTAACATTGATGAAGGAAATAATGATGTGTAAAATAGTGTACTAGTCAAAGAGCACTAGCGATAACAATTCATAAATAGGATTTTATTTCATTTGCTACAATATTTAGCAAAACAGTTATGTTGTATATTGTGTAACAGTTGTAATGTAAATGACTATATCTTTCTCGAATCTCGATGAAGTTAATAGAAATTTAAAAAATTTTAAAAAATGTAAAACATAAAAAATCAAAAATTTCATGGACATTGAGAAATTATTTATATATTTATAAATAAAACAGATTTTAAATGCAAATGGACCCCTAAATAACACTAAAACCTTCTATTTACAAAATAAGAAAAATATATTTGGAAGCATAAAATTATAATTCTTTTCTTTCATGTATTCATGACTGTAAGCACTACTGAATGCAAAAGTTTGGAGGAATCACTGACTTGTTACACATCAAACGCTAAATCTATAAGTGGTTAAATTAGTTAAACTGTACTGCAGGACTTTTACCCTAATGCTGTTTTTCTCGCTCATCAAAACTGGTGTTAAGTGCAACTTAAAGCAGTTAATTGGACTAAAATCTAAATAAGACAGCTAAAAATGAGATGCTAAATCGTAATTGCCAAGACTGAATATTTTATATGAGCAGCATAATCTTTAAAAAAATTAGTCACAATAAACATCATGGGAGATGAATAACCCGTTGGTAATGAGTTCACTGGTCTGTTAAAACAAAAATAGCCGATTAATAATACGGTTGCCAGTTTGAACCATCCGCTGGCATAAGACGTCCGGATAACAGTAGAAAAATATCAACTAACCACCATATACCTAACCCCCCTAATGTCATGAGTTTGCCCACTGCGATTGCTGAATAACCCAAGCAAAAACGATCCACTGCAAGCATGCCCAAAAAGACAGAATACAAAACTGTCGAAAGGAAGTAGTGACCAGTATACCTGTAACTCGTATTATTTGGTGAAAAATAAGCTGATAATTTTTGAAATTGACCATGCAAAGAAATTAGAATAACTATAGCTTTTGCGGCAAAAAAAATAATATTACACTGATAACAAATGGTAAAAAAGCTAAAGCAGAGAATCCCAATCTAAAAAACTGCAAAGATTGAAAAACCAATTCTTTTTGAATTGCTAAAGTGCTGAGGAGCAATTACTAGAAATGCAGAAGTTGGCTCACAAAAGGGATAAAAACTTTACTTTATGCAAGGTACTTCACGATAAAACACTCGGTTCCCGTGGCACTCTATGCATGGTAAAACATAGCAAGAAACATTAGTTCTTTCCACCTGATCGTAGCGAGTTCCACCAAATTTTAGGCAAGAGCCAGGAACCTGATTAACTTATTTTTAAATGTCATGAAAGTCCATCTTTCAGAAACAGCGCTAAATTTAATAACAATCAATAATATTCACTTATGCTTAATAATAATTACTCAGTTCACAAAAATAGATGACGAAACTCTAGTTAAATCCTAACAGTCTAAACCTTTCGTACTATGAAACGACTCAGTAATATAGTAAATAAAAGAAATCAAAAGCTTTCCTGGTGATCTCAAAACTCCCTAACCATCGGTAAATAATGGAAAACTGAATTACCTTAGTATTATTCAAGCTTTGAGAAGCTTCAACTGGGTCTTTGCACGTTACCCACCTTGAAATAATGAAAATTATAAAAAGGTAGCTACAAATAACAGTAGCAAAAAAGAGCAAATAATTTCATAAAAAGCAGGTCGAACTGCTTTACGACTTGTCTCTAGAAAGGCAGTTTTAAATAAAATGCGAAGTTAAAATAGAGTACGAACCTTTCGTCCAAAAATTCGCAGGGTACTAAAGGACCATATGGATTAAATTCTCCAGAGTTCTCTAGAAACCCATCTTCGTCACTGCACTCATCCGTATAGTTCTCTCCAGAAAATACTGAATTGGAAAACACTGAAAATGGAAATTCACGGCCATTTCTGGAAATCATAAAAACATTTTTTGGTCCAGCGCAGACAGATGAGCGTACAGCTACAGATAATAATAGTAACGTTCTGGCAACTGCCGACAGTAGCTGCATAAACAGTGTTCTACAGTCACAACGCACTGAACTTATAACAGCTCACCTGAAAATATTGAGTAAGAAAGTCTTTCATTACTTAACAAACCAAGTACCAATCGAAAGCACTTGTAAGACCCGACTGTTTCTCCAAATATGCACTAATGATCCCTAAAATTTAACTATACTGAAGTGAAAAAAACGCTTCGCCAGTTACAGAAAGAATTGTCCGTATTTATACAAACGGGAGAGTCAATAATAACAGCAGCAAGATTACTTCCAATAAACAAAGAACTTTATTAATCAACAGCAAAGTTCATAAAAACAATTTATGACTATATTCTGCCCGAAAACTAAGAAGTATAACAAGACTGTACAGTAAAATCCATCCATAAAAAACTGTGGGAACCCGGTTTCATTAAGCAACAGTTATTCAGCTGCCGTTAATGCATCCATCAATTACGAATGCTTAGTAAATCAAAGCTGTTCAAACGAATAAACTAGGAAAGACAAAGAATTCACAAATGGCTAAGTTGTCGGAATCACCTTGAAGCTAATCTAGCTTTTTCAGCAACGTACTTTTTCAGCATTTGGAAAACAGGGCTGCTGGCAACTTCTTTTGGCGGCTCCTTCTTTCCAGACATATAGTAATACAAATCCCACTCCATATGTTCACCATTAATCAAACGATCGTACCTAAAAAATACTGTCAAAGGTAACATTCATTATAAGACGACGAGGGCAATGGAGAAAGAAAGCGAAAAACCCACGCCAACAACTCGTCGTGACTGAGTTTCTGCAAGTTTTCTTCAGCGAAGTCACCAATTAATATATCATTTTCAAGGATGCCTCTTTTCTTACTCTGATACAACAAACGAGCTCTCAGAGTTTTCGTATCTTCATTCATTTTAAGGGTTCTTTTGGGTGCATAAGTAAATTCCGACGCAACAGAATTATGAGATGCAGCTGATAATGACGACCGAATTCCAAACCTTAACAATCCACAGAATCTCTGCATTGTGCACGTAACTGAAATGGATTTGAAAAACCTCACACCTCAAGAAATAAAGAGTAACAGAATAAGAACATCATAGCTGATGACAACAGATTATGCACAACTTGTCAGTAAATTAAAACAGTAACTACATTTTCCTACAAAAAATTCAATCACTCTCGCCACAGCTGCATAACCCGTTGAGACGGTTGCATCACAGTGAAATTAGTTAAAGTACGGCTGCAGTACAAACTGCAATCCAAAATACAGTAATATGACTAAAACTTTTTATTAAGAGGCATTATATAAGCTTCTTCAGGACCCACTAACAGTTTCCAAACTCATGCGATTTTACAGAGGGCTTATTAAAAAACAAAATAATGTACAGCCCCCATCAACCCCCCCCCCCTTTATTCTAAAATAGTAGTATTAATTACTACAGAAACCGAAAGCTGCATATGCAACAGTAGAAGCAAAATACTTTAAAGGCCGTCTACAAAGGTCAACCCCACTTCTGACTCGGCTGCGAAGAGAAAGAATTTACTTAGCAATATCACAAAAAGCTACTTCACCAAATAACAGAAGACTGAAAAACCTCAAAAGCTTTTGAAAGACAAAAAAATTTTAGTTAGTGACAGTGTTTTATTCATTAATTGGTTAGAATATTAAAAAATTCAATACGATATTACGTCAATTCCACAGCTCAATTGAGTTTTATGCAGCTTACCAGTTCTATACCCAGATTTTGAAGCATCAGACTTAAAATTCACAACAACGATGAAAATAAAACTTCTATATCACTTTTTAACAATTTGTATAACATCTTCATGATCGAGTCTGTGGTGCAGCCCAACTCGTTGCGGTGAAAATTTTGTACTAGTTCCCCAAACTATGGCATATCGAAACTGTGATGCTATAGAACGGTGAAGTGCATGGCAAGCGTGCTCTACGGTGGCACCGCGCCGAAGTATGATTCCATCACTAGGGCCTAAACTTGCCTTTTATATAAAATGACTCATTCTCGAGTATCGGCTACCTTAAAAAAAGCATTCAAATGAGAACCAGTAGTTGTGAGGCGTACCAAGATCTGGAGCGCTTCCTGGTTTTTTTGTAAATACTCTAATTAAAGCTAGATACTCCCAAATTTTCTCCTTCATATAATCCAAGTTTAACTTCATTTCACAGCTAATAACAATAGAATGCTTCTGACGTGCAAGTCTAAAAAACAACTTTTTCACTGTATTCAATCAACAACAATATTTTTAAAAATTTTTGCAACTACTTTGTAGAAAATGGGAGGAAAATTAAACTTTATACAAATAAGAAACTAACCTATCCATTTCCTGAATGCTTATTTGATCTATCTTATTGTATACGTATAAACAACTAATATAAACTCTATTTCCTTGAATAACATCGATTAACTCGTCAACACTGAAATTTCTTTTATACAACTTGATAGCGACCTGTTGTAAAGAATAATACAAATCTCGAGCTGGCAAAAATGATATTTCTTGGCACGCACAAGAAAATAAACTACCAAAACAGTTGAAAAATTGATAAACTAACGTGCAGTCATCTCTAAAAACGACATCGGCGTTGAAAATCTTGTATTCGTGAAGCACCGTCATGACTAATTTTTCATTACAATGAGTAAGAGGAACTGTGTGCGTGAACTTAACACCACCAATTTTCTTCTGCTTCAGGTAGATCAACGGCCGCTTTTTATTTACTCGAATGCCAACTGATTCTAATTCTCTTTCTAGCGCTGCTTTCTAAAATGAGAAACTGTATGCGCAAAAAGACAAATCCCTTTTATCAAAGAATAAACTGTTCAAAAAGTAATTCTAATAAACCGACTGTCATCCAAATAAACAAAATTATAAAAAATTGAAAACTACCTGCTCCTCTCCCTTAACAGAATCAAGGATCATCAAAATTAGATCAGCAGTTTTTGCTACTGCAATAACTTGTCGCCCACGTCCTAAATTAAAACTAAGAAGACCCCAATTTCCGGAATTAACTCTACGCATATCAATGTAAAACTGTCAAAGAACAAACCCTAAAAGATCCAGAAAGAAAAACTTACCCTTCCCTTGCGCTGCACCCTCAATAATTCCAGGTAAATCCAAAAGTTGAATGCTAGCACCCTCATATTCGATAACCCCAGGAATACATGTCAGTGTCGTAAATTCGTAAGCTGCTGTTTCACTTTGGGTTGTGGTAATAGAAGACAAAAGCGTTGACTTCCCAACTGATGGAAACCCGACCTAATTTCAGGGCTTATAACAAATTGTTTTATTTAAGGACCACCAAACAACCGTTGTTCTCACGCATGAAAAAGACAAACATACCATTGCAACTCGCGCATCACCGCTTTTCATTACATCGAAGCCATCACCTTTACTAGAACCACCCTTTGTTTGTGGCTCAAGTAACTGCTGCCGATACTTAGCAAGCTTTGCCTTCAAAAGTCCAAGATGGTACTCTGTGGCCTTGTTTTTTTGCGTTCTGCTGATCTCGTGTTCAATTTCTTGGATTTTTTCGAGAATACCCATTTCACGAGACTTTTTACCTTCAAAAAATTGAGTGAAATGAGGCACTATCTAATCAAAAAGAACAAATGACGACATAACAGAATCGACAGCAGCAGCAAAATGAAAACTGAATAAATTATGAACAATTTGAACGGCGATTCCCCCAAACATTGTTCAAAACTTTTTCCTTTCAAAATAATTGACCTCTATTGAAACTGCTCATGTTAAACGTACATCCCCCATTCAAAAAAATCTTCGAAAAATGACATAGTAATAATTCCTCAACAATTCCAACTTAACCTTCACGAACCCTCCAAATCAGGACCCAATTTCCTCAACATGCGAGCATGAACAACGTAAGACCTCTAAGAGGCGCAATACTGACCTACATAAGCAACAATGTCCGAAACGAACTGATAACTAAAACTGCACTATTATGAGTGACAACCAGCAAAAGGTTATGGCAAAGGCTCAGGCTGTCAAAAAAAAAAAAATCCGACAACAATGAAAATTAATTACAGATCACAACCAATCAACTTGAAATTGACGACGGATGTTTATTTTACATTTCCGGATATACTCTGGCACAAAATTCAAACTTCAACGAATACATTACATGAAACTTCAATAACAGACAAGAAACGTTCGATAGCAAACTTAGACGACTCATCTTCAATTCACAAAGAAACATTATATTCAGTCTTCAAACCACCATAACCTCCAAACAACTGATGACTAAATCTCCGTCTAATGTATGACAATTAACTCGTAAATGCACTGGTATAAATGCAGTTTGCTAACGCTCACCAATCAATTTTCAAATTCAAAAAGAAAAAAAAACAAAAATTATCACCATCTCTTACAGTGACATCTAAAAACCAATTTGCAATACAAAACATAAAATGAGACCTGATGAAATTGAGAAGAGCAAAAAACAATATTTCTGATAGCAGCGCAGGTCATCTTTGTGTCAATATATGCAAATAACTGTTTATTTTTTTAAAATACTCAGTCGCTTGTTATCTTTAGAAACAAATTGTGAGATTTTTCCTACAAAAGTCCTTAAACTTAAAACCCAACGCTTCAGTCCGTCAGAAACATATTTATACATCAAAAGCAGCAGTAAGTTCATAATCTAAGAGTGAAATTTCCAAAAACAATGAGATCACGAACGAAACTTGGCTAGAATGTAACTTTACAAAGCTTAGTTTCAATAATTTCAGAACTGCTTCCATATGGTAATATATTTCCACTGTTCATATACACTATTATAATAACTAACACACGAAACAGATAAAAACTAATATCTTGACAAATTTATGTGGTAATGTTGCCACTTGCTCTAAGTACAAAAACCTGTTCGACCCAAAAATAAATGAAGCAAACTTCCGTCCTTATATATGACACTAAAACTTCGGCAAAACTGCTTCAAAAATGAAAATAAACCTATCAAAGTGACCAACCAATTAAAAAACAATCCATCCAAACCACTTGCACGTTTAAGAATTCTGCCCAAGAAACTCATCACGACTCCACTAAGCAACATTATTATTGTTGAATAATTCGCCTAAAGTTGGCAATGGCGTCAGAGCTTCAGCAGGCACAGACGTGAGATCGGGTAAGGACTCAAAATGTTTTTTCACCTTAAAATGTTCACTGATAACAAAATAAAATAAAGTTGAATAAGTCAAATCCTTTCACCAAAGAAAAAACTGAGAAAAAAAAATAAAGGATTGAATTAGGTAACAATCCAAGCCGCAAAGGGCATCATAAACTAAAGTGTTTTTTAGCAAATCGAAAAATTTTCAAAAAAAGAATTAGTTAAAAATTTTACCTCAGCTTTTTCCTGCACTAATTTCTCAACTTTCTCCTTCATCGCCTCGGACATTTCATCTACTCTTTGCATACCTATTTTAAGAAAATCGTGGTACTCAGTCATCAATCGATTTATGTTTCTTCTATCATTCATTTCGTCAAAAAGCCTAAATATTTTTTCGATGCAAACAGTCGTACCACTCGCAAAATCAAGAGCAAAACCTGTATTTTTAGACTTCTGGTTTTAATCAACATAATAACAGACCTCTTACAATAATTTTTAACAATAGGATCAGCTTCATTGATCCTTTCAAGCAGCGCCCGGGCTTGTTTCTCGTTTTTAATTCCTTTCAAATACACTGGGTTAGCTATTGCCTCTGGGAAGGACGCAATAAGCTGCCTGAAAAGTTAGTGTAAAGCCTTCGTAAAAAGATTTATGGTAAACAGTAATAGCAATACTATTAAAAAAACTTAATAAGACCGCATCCATCTACCTCGTGTCGCCATCAGCTGAAGGAGGATCATCAAGTTTCCTCAGAATTTCTACCAGTTCTGTACTTACTTGAGCCATAGCTTTTACATCCAATTTTGTTTCAGTCCGACTCTAAAAAATGCAAAAACTGTACATACAAGGATAAGTCCTAGTAAAAAATGCAAAATAGCACAAAACCTTCTTCCTTTCGACGGGTGAATCTGAGGACGTTGAAGAAGACGGTTGAGGAGAATCAGTCATCGAAACAGGTCGCTTGGTATTCACTTGAGGTGGTGTAGTTGGTGTTAATCTCAATCGAGAATTAGCATCCTGTTTTGTCACAGCGTTGCCTAACTCGACATTAAACTCAACTAGACGGATCCCAGTAAGAGACGACCTAGCGGCTGAATACAGTAACTCGATCTTCTGTGGAGAATAAATTGACCGCTCACGAAATACTCTCAAAATCTTCTTCATGGCCGTTACAGCATTTCCGTCAGCGTAAGTACTAACATGCCTAAAGTGGGACCAGATTTGCAACTTCTTAACACGAAACTGAAGTAACTGGGAACAAGAGAGCTCAGGCGAAAGAATACTAGAACTGCTTTAAAGTATAAGGACTGTAAATTATTACTTAAAAGCTGGTTCCAAAACTGTGTAAAATAAAGCCATAAAGCCGGGAGACTGTTTACGGCTATTTTGTATGACGTCATTGGCCAAATACAAAAGATTCACAAGCCGGACTGGCCTGACTTCTTGTTTAACTTCCTAAAAAAATAATGAAAAAAAGGCTTTAACTTCCTTGCACATGTTTCAAAGCTCAAGAGCTATGAACCCTGTTGCTAATCACCACCCCATCCCACCACTCACTCTTCACTTCCTCTCCCTCTGAGTCCTTCTACAGTGAAAAAACTATAGCCCATACTGTTCCACAATCTTGTTCTTACCGCGATGAGCTGCTGAAGCTTTTTGTCATACCTTACTTAACTACTGCTTCCCTCTGCTTTGCGTTTGCAGGTCCTTGCAGAAATAAAAGTTTGCGTTAACAATTAGCTTAATTCTACAATTCAACAATTTGTTTCCTTGAAAACAGGGAAGGTAACAAGCGGAAGGGGAACTGCAAAAGACATATGACCAAATTTGTTTTTCAAACCCGCAAGCCGTATGTCTGAGAGAAGTTGAAGCAAATATGAAACATATCAATATTTCGCAAAAAGAATTTTAAAAACACCAAGAAAGCCAGTTTATTTAATGTGCATTATACTGCAACTTCCTAAATGCTTGAAAAAACCTTTTAGCTCCTACTCCAAGCAATAAATAAGGGCAAGAGAAACGCCAGTACTTAAGAAAAATTCTCCAAAAATTAGAAAAAGCTGATGTTGCAAAGAATTAAAGAAAAAGTCTTTTAAAGAGGACTAGCGATTAATAAGCACAAATATACTGATAAACACCCATTGTTTCCGCCATCACTGCACTAGAAGGAATTTGGCTGATACTCTTTCCTAACTTCAAAGAACGGTTACTTATAAGACTAAATAACTGGTTTAAAAAGCCCAATTTGCCTGGCTGAGGGTACACAGAAAACTTTCTCAGAAAGTGAAAGACAAAACTCGATTAACGTAACTTACGCGAGCATTTTCAAAACCAAAACAATGGCTCTACGCCATTCACTCCTTTTGTTTAATTTCTTGCCAAAAGAACACTGATTTTTTATCCAAGCAGCCTTAAATTAAACAGCCATCTTTTTTTATTTTTATTTTTATATTCTGAACAAATTAGCTAACGACTCGGTAGAAGTAAATTTAAAAAATTAGTATTCTTTGATGAGACCTGTACAAATGGTGAAGACACATAGCCATCATTTTGGCAATTACTTCGCCAATTAAAACTAATCAAGCTTCATTTGAAAGTTATCAAAAAAAAGTCAAAAAAATATATCAAAATATCCAGACTGCTTCGAAAAAAAAAAAAAAGAATAAACATTAAAAACACCAAAAGTTCTGCAAACTTCGCAGAAAAACATAACGATTTAAATTCCGAAAAGAAAAAATTCGCGTAACAACATTTTTTTATACCGTTTAATTATTAATCCCTGTAAGAGCCAGTCAAATAGTCTACATAACAGAATCCTATAAACTAACTAAGCAAGAAAGCTATCAATGTACATTGTTAACAGAACGGTGCGTAAAGGATAAAAAGTAGAAAAAAAAGGTAAAAACAAGCAAGCAAATGATAACAAGTAAAAAATAAAAATTTTTTTCAGTCAAAAATTAAAGCAAAAAATTGACCAGCCCCGTACCTTCACAAAGTAGAACGGGTTTCATGATTACCTTTAACCAAAGCTGTACGATTTCATCTGCATGATTCTTCTGGTGATGCAGCAACCACATTGAAACTGTTTGTATAGACTGTGAAGTGGTTGTCAGCGATTCTAGCCTTTTTGTCATAGCGGATTCCGAAAATCCAGCCATTCTAAAATCAGACACCTGTAACGCCAGCAATCCTTTGACAAGTATTTGAGCATAAATTTTACGTGCCTGAATTTGTGGACAAAGGATCTTTTCACCAGCAAGTCTAAACGACGGTCCAGAATGACCTGTGCGAAGACGATGGAAACTTCAAAGAGACGATAGATTTGTTGAAATTTTTAAGCCAACTTCTTTTGGAAGTTCGCCATCTGAGATGTTTTAAATGTTTAAAAAATTGCTTGTCTTCAGTAGCAGCCATCAATTTAATGCTTACTTATCGCAGTCGTAACATAGGTCGTAACAAAAATGCTTTTTTAAAATATCAACTTTAAACTCATCATAACTTAGCTGGTGGGGCTAATATTTATTTTTGAAAGAGAACTAAAAATACAACAACCGAAAAAATTATTTTTACCTCAAAAGCAATCTGGAAATGCATAAGATCAACCAGAAGATTCTAATACATTTTATTTGGATACTTGAATTATTATGGCAGAGAAGTCTCAAAATTTTTGTTTTCAAATGGCATCTTTACTGAAATTAGCAGCGTAGAAACATTTTTCACTTTAATGCCTATGAATCATCTGAATTGGTGTACTGAGTTTGGTTCTTCGTTTTAGGTAACAGCTGGAAATAACCTAAAAAACGAAAGAAAAACGTTTCTTACCGCAGATTAAAATGTCAAATTTTTTGGTTATAAAATTTGGTTACTAATTAACAATAAACTATTTTTAAATGATAGTTTATCAGGTTACCTTAGATATGGAATAAATTCAAAATAAAAAATATTTTGTTAATCATCGTTTACTTTTTGCTTTCCGGGCTCTTGAAGTATAACTCGATGTTAGAACTGCCTATACCGTCTACTCAGTTACTATTTGTCAAGCAAAAGAGAAAAAAAAAA